ACCTTGTCTTCTTCCTGATCTTAGTGGAAATGCTTTCGGTTTTTCACCATTGAGGACGATATTGGCTGTGGGCTTGTCATACATGGCCTTTATTATGTTGAGGAAAGTTCCCTCTATGCCTACTTTCTGCAGGGTTTTTATCATAAATGGGTGTTGAATTTTGTCAAAAGCTTCCTCTGCATCTATTGAGATGACCATATGGTTTTTCTCCTTCAATTTGTTAATATGGTGTATCACCATATTGAAGAATCTTTGCATTCCTGGAATAAACCCCACTTGATCATGGTGTATGATCCTTTTAATGTGCTACTGGATTCTGTTTGCTAATATTTTGTTGAGGATTTTTGCATCTATGTTCATCAGTGATATTGGCCTGTAGTTTTCTTTCTTTGTGACATCCTTTTCCGGTTTTGGTATCAGGGTGATGGTGGCCTCATAGAATGAGTTTGGGTGTGCTCCTCCCTCTGCTATATTTTGGAAGAGTTTGAGAAGGATAGGTGTTAGCTCTTCTCTAAATGTTTGATAGAATTCGCCTGTGAAGCCATCTGGTCTTGGGCTTTTGTTTATTGGAAGATTTTTAATCACAGTTTCAATTTCAGTGCTTGTGATTGGTCTGTTCATATTTTCTATTTCTTCCTGATTCAGTCTTGGAAGGTTGTACATTTCTAAGAATTTGTCCATTTCTTCCAGGTTGTCTATTTTATTGGCATAGAGTTGCTTGTAGTAGTCTCTTAGGATGCTTTGTATTTCTGCGCTGTCTGTTGTAACTTCTCCTTTTTCATTTCTAATTCTATTGATTTGGGTCTTCTCTCTTTTTTTCTTGATGATTCTGGCTAATGGTTTATCAATTTTGTTTATCTTCTCAAAGAACAAGCTTTTAGTTTTATTGATCTTTGCTATAATTTCTTTCATTTCTTTTTCATTTATTTTTGATCTGATCTTTATGATTTCTTTCCTTCTGCTAACTTTGGGGTTTTTTTGTTCTTTCTCTAATTGCTTTAGGTGCAAGGTTAGGATGTTTATTTGAGATGTTTCCTCTGTCTTAAGGTAGGATTGTATTGCTATAAACTTCCCTCTTAGAACTGCTTTTGCTACATCCCATAGGTTTTGGGTCGTCGTGTCTCCATTTTCATTTGTTTTTAGGTATCTTTTGATTTCGTCTTTGATTTCTTCAGTGATCACTTCATTATTAAGTAGTGTATTGTTTAGCCTTCATGTGTTTGTATTTTTTACAGATCTTTTCCTGTAATTGATATCTAGTCTCATAGCGTTGTGGTCGGAAAAGATAACTTGATACAATTTCGATTTTCTTAAATTTACCAAGGCTTGATTTGTGACCCAAGATATGATCTATCCTGGAGAATGTTCCATGAGCACTTGAGAAAAATGTGTATTCTGTTGTTTTAGGATAGAATGTCCTATAAATATCAATTAAGTCTATCTTGTTTAGTGTATCATTTAAGGCTTGTGTTTCCTTATTTATTTTCATTTTGGATGATCTGTTCATTGGTGAAAGTGGGGTGTTAACGTCCCCTACTATGAATGTGTTAAGATCGATTTCCCCTTTTATGGCTGTTAGTATTTGCCTTATGTATTGAGGTGCTCCTATGTTAGGTGCATAAATATTTACAATTGTTATATCTTCTTCTTGGATCGATCCCTTGATCACTATGTAGTGTCCTCTTTGTCTCGTCTAATAGTCTTTATTTTAATGTCTATTTTGTCTGATATGAGAATTGCTACTCCAGCTTTCTTTTGGTTTCCATTTGCATGGAATATCTTTTTCCATTCCCTCACTTTCAGTCTGTATGTGTCCCTAGGTCTGAAGTGGATCTCTTGTAGACAGCATATATATGGGTCTTGTTTTTGTATCCATTCAGCCAGTCTATGTCTTTTGGTTGGAGCATTTAATCCATTTATATTTAAGGTAATTATTGATATGTATGTTTCTATTCCCATTTTCTTAATTGTTTGGGGTTTGTTATTACAGGTCTTTTCTTTCTCTTGTGTTTCTTGCCTAGAGAAGATCCTTTAGCATTTGTTGTAAAGCTGGTTTGGTGGTGCTGAACTCTCTCAGCTTTTGCTTGTCTGTAAAGGTTTTCATTTCTCCATGAAATCTGAATGAGATCCTTCCTGGGTAGAGTAATCTTGGTTGTAGGTTTTTCTTCTTCATCACTTTAAATATGTTCTGCCAGTCCCTTCTGGCTTGCAGAGTTTCTGCTGAAAGATCAGCTGTTAACCTTATGGGGATTCCCTTGTGTGTTATTTGTTGTTTTTCCCTTGCTTCTTTTAATATGTTTTCTTTGTCTTTAATTTTTGACAGTTTGATTAATATGTGTCTTGGTGTATTTCTCCTTGGATTTATCCTGTATGGGACTCTCTGTGCTTCCTGGACTTGATTAACTATTTCCTTTCCCATATTAGGGAAGTTTTCAACTATAATCTCTTCAAATATTTTCTCAGTCCCTTTTTCTCTTCTTCTTCTGGAACCCCTATAATTTGAATGTTGGTGCGTTTAATGTTGTCCCAGAGGTCTCTGAGACTGTCCTCAGTTCTTTTCATTCTTTTTTCTTTATCCTGCTCTGCAGTAGTTATTTCCACTATTTTATCTTCCAGGTCACTTATCCATTCTTCTGCTTCAGTTATTCTGCTATTGATCCCTTCTAGAGTATTTTTAATTTCATTTATTGTGTTGTTCATCATTGCTTGTTTCATCTTTAGTTCTTCTAGGTCCTTGTTAAATGTTTCTTGCATTTTCTCTATTCTATTTCCAAGATTTTGGATCATCTTTACTATCATCATTCTGAATTCTTTTTCAGGTAGACTGCCTATTTCCTCTTCATCTGGTGGGTTTTTACCTTGCTCCTTCATCTGCTGTGTGTTTTCTGTCTTCTCATTTTGTTTATCTTAATGTGTTTGGGGTCTCCTTTTTGCAGGCTACAGGTTTGTAGTTCCCGTTGTTTTTGGTGTCTGTCCCCAGTGGCTCAGGTTGGTTCAGTGGGTTGTGTAGGCTTCCTGGTGGAGGGGACTAGTGCCTGTGTTCTGGTGGATGAGGCTGGATCTTGTCTTTCTGGTTGGCAGGTCCACGTCTGGTGGTGTGTTTTGGGGTGTCTGTGGAGTTATTATGATTTTAGGCAGCCTCTCTGCTAATGGGTGGGGTTGTGTTCCTGTCTTGCTAGTTGTTTGGCATAGGGTGTCCAGCACTGTAGCTTGCTGGCCATTGAGTGGAGCTGGGTGTTTGTGTTGAGATGGTGATCTCTGGGAGATTTTCGCCGTTTGATATTATGTGGAGCTGGGAGGTCTCTTGTGGATCAGTGTCCTGAAGTTGGCTCTCCCACCTCAGCGGCACAGCAGTGACTCCCAGCTGTAACACCAAGAGCCTTTTATCCACATGGCTTATTTGTAAAGCATGCAACATGAATGTGTGCTATTCTGCACAGCTGAGCTGGAGAGGAACTAGCTCTGCTCCACAGCACAGCAAAAAGCAAAAAACCCCTCGCGCAGCTGCGTCCGCACTCACGCGTGTTCCATCGCTGGGCTATACAAGGGCGATTCAGCCTAACTTGTTGCAACCAGGTCAGGCCTATCATGGAGAATTTTAAACATATATAAAAGTAGAAAGCCTGGTAAATGAACCCCCATATACTTTTAGTCACCCCCAAATTCATCAAACCATGGCCAGTCTTGTCACATACTTTATCAGTTATCTATTTGGGTAAAATGAATTACCCCAAATTTAGCAGTTTAAAACAACATACATTTATTATCTCGCAGTTTTTGTGGAGTAGGTCTCTAGATGGTGTTTTTTTGGATCCTCTGGCTTTGGGTCTCTCACAAGACTGTAGTCATCTCAGATCTCACCTGAAGGGTCCACTTCCAAGTTTACTGAAGTGGTCGTTGGCAAGATTCAGTTATGGGAGCTGTTGATGGGAGACCTCCCTCCTTCCTTTCCACATGGACATCTCTATAGAGCATCTCACAACATGGCAGCTTGCTTCATCAGATTGCCCACAAGAAGGAGAGCAAAAGAGGGTGCACAAGAAGGGAAGTTACAGTCTTTTGAACCTAATCATAAAAGAAGTATCCCATCATCCTTGCTGAATTCTGTTCTTTAGAAAAAAGTCACCAAGTCCAGCCCACACTCAAGGGGAAGGTATTACATAAGGGTGTAACTACCAGAAGGTGGGGACAATAGGGAACTGTTTTAGGAGTCTGCCCATCACACACACACATTCGCATTCTTTCTACCTGCCCAGATTATTTTGAAGCAGATCCCAGATTTCATATCATCCCTTCTGTAACTGTTTTAACATGTATTCCTAAAAGATAAGGGTTCTTTTGAAAAATACATAACCAAAGCACCATTATTACACCTAAAATTTAATAATATTTTCAAATATGCAGTGTTCAAATTTCCAGTTGTCTCATGAATATAGTAATCCATTGAGATATATTCATGTATTTTAAAATGTCTTCTAAGTCTCTTTTTAATCTATTGTTTTCCCCTTCTCTCTCTCTTTTTTTCCTTCCTTGTAATTTATTTGAAACAGCTACCTTGTTTGACCTGTAGAGTTTCCTGCAGTCTGAGTTTTGCTGATTGGATTCCTGAGTTAAAGTTTATCACATTCCTAATATTTCCATATAAATTGATAAGTATTGATTTTAAGATGGCAATATTTACACATTGAAATCAAGCTGCATCTTACCATCAAAGGCATTGTGTAATTTCTCAGGTGACAGTTATGATACTGTTGTCATTGCCTCAGCATGAGCAAACTCGTCTTGACTATATTGTTATCGCTTCAGTTGAATTATGTACATTGTTCCCATTACATGTGTTGAGTTTTATTGCTGTTTAAATTTTTTTTCAAGAAGATTACATTTTGATTTTGCATTGAAAGCAAAAGTCACTGCAAGTACAGGAAAACACAGAAACAGAACAGAGGGGATTAAATTTGATTCATTCATGACTGGGCCACTAAAATCCCTTGATGTTTCAGGCTGCAAACCAAATAAGGACATTTGAAGAAGGAATGGAAGTCCTGATGTTGTCTGAAATGGATCAAGGAAGCACCAACATCAGCATTTGCCAACAGAGCGTCAGTCCCTTGGAATAAAATTCCATAGTCAGTAGCGGAGCACTCTTTCAAGTTCTATTCAAGATATATATTATCCTTCAATAAAATAGTGTGGAAAACACAGAGATCAATGGCTTTGAATATAAAAGTGATTCCTGTTGGATTATTATTTTTTTTCAGAATATTCTGTTGGCTTCAGGAAATACTAAGTGAAAACAAAACTAACAAAATTACATCACTAGTATTAGTCTAATTAAGGCACAGGAAAAGGATGGGCATGAAATACAGCAAATTGCTATCAATATTGATGAGATTCTGGGACATACATTTTTCCTTTATATTTTGTTATTGTGTTGTTTTCCTGAATTATTTACAATCACAAGAATACCTTTTAAAATCAAGGGAAAAAAACCCCAGTAAATATTATTCTTGTAAAAGCACCATGTCAGAGAATTGACAAGCCAGATTGTGGGATGGCTTCTGTAGGGTGGCTGTGAGGTTCTCAGGCTTGTAGGCTGCAAGGTGAATTTTAGTTTTTGACCTTGGAGGCTCTTGGCAGTCTTCCTGTGGATGGACCGCTGTCTTCTCCCTGCTTGGGACGTGCCCCATCCATCCGGACTCTGGAACTGTTTCAGTGTTGTCTGTGAGGGATGTTCTTCAATCCTTGTTAATTTTTGCCCGAAGTGCTCAAGTATGTTGCTCTCATGATGATCTTGGAGTTCAGAAAGGTCTGTTGGATTCTTCAGGTGAAGAATTTTTTGTAGCATCTTAATCATTGGCATTTTTGCTAATGTTTTCCTTTTTGTGGATACTACATGGGAGTGATAAATGATATAAATCTCTAAAAATAAGTTTTAAGAAATAATTCCAATAAATGTAAAATAAAAAATTCTAAATGATAGGAAGGTACTTGTATCAGTTTAATTGGCAGGGGTTTTTTTTCTTAGTCACTTTGAAAATAATTGTGTGTTTTTCAATTAAGTTACCAGGTTCAGTGAAATGCATTACTAACAATAAAACTAATGAAATTAAATAAAATTTAAAAAGCTCTGTCCTCTAGAGCTAAGTTTAGGGGATCGGGGATTTGTCTTTTCTCTCCTCATATGTCTCTTCTTGCTGATAATCCCATATTTCCTTGATACCAGATATCATAAGTTGTTAGATACATCATGAATTTTATAACAACTTTTCAGAAAAAAGAAGCACCTATAAAATCACAAAACTTTTTTTTCCTGATAGACATACATTCTTCAGTTTTTAAGTTTGGTTGGAGCCTAAGCTTTTTTCACAGTCAAAGTCTGAAAGTTCTCCTGAGTCGATTTTGGTTTGGACACTATCTGTAGCACCATGGTGACCTCCTCCACCCCACCTCAAAACCTACCTTTTATAATCTGTTCCTCTTTAGCATATTTAAGAACAAAGGACATTTTAAGGCATATCTCAGTATTCAGGCTTGATGAATAATTCCTGTGTGGTTAACATCATCATTATACTTTTCCCTCCTAATTGAATTATATATTAATGGACATTAAACAGTTCTTAAGAATCAACTGGGTATTTCTGATAGATGGATACTGGTACCAGAATGATCACTAGAATTCAAGAAAAGATATCATCAAACCTTCATAGTTTTGAGAAACCTATTCCTATTCTAAGAGATTTGGCAATTTCTATTGCCTTTAATTGTATTTTGTAGAGCCTGACAATATTCTGCAAAGACAATTATTATTTGTTTCTCTGTTAAATTTTAATATATTCTTTTTTGAAGACATTTTCAAGGACAATTGGAATCCAAACTTAAAATAAGGTTCAACTACATGCCATGCAAACAAGGCTTATTTCCCAGCTTAGGTGAGACTCAGATGAATCTATAACCTTCTACACACGTGCTAATTTGCACATGTGCAGGCATTGACATCTATGTCACAACTCACTTCTCTGCCAAGTTTCTATTGGCACTGACTGTAAATTACATACAAATTTGAGATATGTTAAAATGTGAAAAGTTCTGCATCTTAGACTTGATGAAATACAGTAGTAAATAACATTTATCGATTGTGTGTATATGCTAGATACCTTACCTATATTATTTCACTTAATTTTCATAATTACCCTATAAAGCAGTGCTGTTATTGCCTCAGTTTTACAGATGAAGAAAACTGAGTCTTGGGGAGTTTAAGTCATTAGCCTAAGGAAAAGGCAGAATTGAGTCAAAGCTTGAACTTGAAGGCACATAGGATCTTTACTTCCCTGCTTCTCTCTTGGTAAACCTTATGTTTTTATGCACTATTAGCACTGTCCAATAGAACTTTCTATTATGGAAATGTTCTCTGTGCTGTCCAACATGGCAGTCACTAGCCTCCTGGGGCTATTGAGCATTTGAAATGTGCTTAGTATGACTGAGCAATTAAAATTAATGTTATTTAATTTTAATTTAGATGGACACGTGTGGCTGGTGGCTCCCACACTGGAGAGTGCAACACTAGAATGAAGGTCACTATAGTCTCATGATAATTCTAAAGAGTTGAGGACACAGAGTTCACTTTTGTGCTTGCAAAAGTCAGGTCTACACAATTGCAAATATTCGGAAGTAATTACTTCTCTGAGACAACTTGACTATTCTCGTGGCTTTTTGGAAGCTGGTCAGCAGTTTTAAACAAGAAGGGGCAGCTAGAAAACTATCTTACCACTGATTGGGGTGCTTACTCATGATCTAGAGAAGTCCCTTATGGGATTCTTCTTAGGTCTACTGTGATGTGTTTTTGTTGATGTTGTTATTTTTTCATTTTTTTTTACCGTTTAAATATTTCATTTATTTATTTGGCTGTGCCGGGTCTTAGTTGTGGCATGCGGGATCTTTGTTGCTGCATGCAAGTTCTTCATTGTGGCATGTGGGATCTTTAGTTGTGGCACGCGGGATATTTTAGTTGAGGCACGCAGGATCTCTTAGTTGTGGCACACGGGATCTAGTTCCCTGACCAGGGATCGAACACAGGCACCCTGTATTGGTAGCGAGGGGTCTTAACCACTGGACCACCAGGGAAGTCCCTTGTTGATGTTGTTATTAATCCTGTATTTTACATTTTACCTACCAGTTTGCAGTTATCTTATGAAACTTTCCCAAACATTCTATAAGGTAAGTAGATTGGTATTACCATTCCTGTTTTACAGATGAGGGAATTAAGACTCAGAGAGGTTATGTGATTTGCCTAGGGTCACCCAGATAAGGAGTGACTTACCTGGGGTTGGTATCTAGATCTTTGGACTTCTTATCTGTTGTGCTTTCCATACTAGGAGCTATTTCTCCACTTTTGCATTCAAGCATATTTTATTTAAAAACACCAAACAGACTCTGCAGGAAGAAACTCTGACTTTGGGTGAGGATGATTCCAGGCAAGCTGGTAGAACAAGGTGTCACCCGGTGGGCATTGGCCCTCCCAAAGGAAGCCTTTACCAAAGGCTTGAGTAATGTCACTGTTTTCAGGGTGATTGGCTTCAAGCCAGGTGGTTGTGGTGGAAGATTAGTTGCTGGGGCACTAATTCTGCTTCTTCTCAATGTGACCGTTTTTTTTGCACTTTGTAGAGAAAATGAGTAGGTCATAATATCAATTACTTCTTGGGTATTTTGGTTGGCTTCAAGTATTTTTCCTTTTGTAATTAAGTGGGAAAGGGAAAACAGATGGTCACCTTGTCAAATCTCGTTTTCAAGTTAAGTACACAGCCCTCTTTTCTAAGTAGGCTAATTCCCTCCCTTTTTTTTTTTTTTTTTTTTTGGCGGTACGCGGGCCTCTCACTGCTGTGGCGTCTCCTGTTGTGGAGCACAGGCTCCGGACGCACAGGCTCAGCGGCCATGGCTCACGGGCCTAGCCGCTCCGCGGCACGCGGGATCCTCCCGGACTGGGGCACGAACCCATGTCCCCTGCATCGGCAGGCGGACCCCCAACCACTGTGCCACCAGGGAAGCCCTAATTCCCTTTAAATGGGGATGCTTTAAAATAGGGAGACACTGGTGGTTTTGCATAGGATCTAATGAATGTGTACATAATGTCACCTGCTTGGACAGTGCACTTGGAAAAAATGCCTTAATTTTTATGGAAGTACCACCTGTAATCTTCTGTTGTCTAGAACAGTAATCATTTAGCTTCTCTGTACTTTTGTCTCTTCAGGGTTTTACCTTCTGTACATATAGCCAAAGCACACACAGGGAGCATTGATATGTATCTGGGCACCGGAAGGTGCCATTCAGTTGGAGATTACAGGAACAGTGGGAGAGTTCTGCAGATCGTCCCACTGTCACCTCATTTTGGTTACTTTTTGGATATTGAGGAGGAGCTGCAGAGATGAAGGAATAATAATTACTCAAAACTGGAAGTCGTTTCTTTCTTTTTTTAAATTTTATTTTATTGAAGTATAGTTGACATACAATGTTGTATTAATTTCTACTGTACAGCAAAGTGATTCCGTTATACATATATATATATATATATATATATATATATATACACACATTCTTTTTCATATTCTTTTCCATTATGGTTTATCGCAGAATATTGAATATAGTTCCCTGTGCTATATAGTAGGACCTTGTTGTTCATCCATTCTATATGTTATAATAGTTTGCATCTGCTAACCCCAAACTCCCAATCCATCCCTCTCTCACCCCCTCCCCCTTGGCAACCACAAGTCTGTTCTCTATGTCTGTGGGTCTGTTTCTCTTTTGTAGATATGTTCATTTGTGTCATGTTTTAGATTCCACATATAAGTGGCATCATATGGTATTTGTCTTTTCTCCTTATGGCTTACTTCACTTAGTATGATAATCTGTAGGTCCATCCATGTTGCTGCAAATGGCATTATTTCATTCTTTTTTATTGGAAGCCATCTCTTTCTATCCCACTTACTTCCTAGAACAATGAGGACCAATTGATTAGGGAGATCTTATGCCCTTCCCAGAATTATTCTCCATATTAAGGAGAAAACAGAAAAAAATACCTTCAGTTTAAAAAAATTCTTTTTTTGAGATGGTGTGAAAACGAGAAGCTGGTCTTCTTGTCTTTGCCAATCCTAACGTCTCTTTTTCACACCTTTTTATGAGTGTCTCC